TTATTTTCTACTCTGGGTGTATTTCAGAATGCTAGAAATCAAAATCAGCACAATTAATATTGCCAACCTTTTAACTCATGAAAATTAAATGCATTTTCTTTTCTAAAGTTCCATTTCACTGAATATATTTGCTTTATTAAAAAGAATACAAATAAATTTTATTCTTTTCATATTTTTTTCCTATTTCATGCTTTGTTATAAGCTTATTCCTGAACCAACTGACTATAAACCTTAAGTATGGATTAAGATGCTTTAAAATTTTAATATCCAAAATGGAGTTGATATATATTTTTAGAACAGATCTCATGAAACCTACAATTCAGTATTTATGACCCCAGATATATTTCACATAATTATTTGTTTTATCCATTTTTGTTGGATGCTTTAAATAAAAAAAGTATTTCCTGATATGTATCCACTAAGCAGAACTCTCTATGCTTCATATTGCAAGACTAAAAAAATCCACTGCATTATTTTTATAAAACAGCTTTGAAAAATCTATTTGGCCATTAGTGTATGACATTTGGCATACACAAACTATGAATAAAGATATTCTTACAAATTTTTAAAGCCATCTGCAAAATGCTTTTGGGTCGGGCGGCATTTCAACATTCAGGAAAGAGTTGAATTAATTTATCTGATATATATAGTGTCTTTCTTTTTCTGAGTTCTATTCATATGTACTGTGGAAATGTAACAAAATCATTGATCAGAACAATGGCTTGAAGGAGATGTATTTGAGATAACAGAACGGTTATTGTACAGTTGCTAGTAATGAAGACTACAACAGAGTCCATTTGCATTCAGAGACAAATCGTACCAGAACAAGACTTTACAAGAGAGACTGTAATTTAAATAGAATCACTGAATATAGGAGCTGGATGGAACCTCATCTAATCTTGGCCCATTGTTAATACAAGAATCCACGACTAAACCACTTCCAGCATAAAGCTCCACTTTCAAATTGAGGTTTTAAAAGCTTCACTGCAAGGAAAAGCAACCTTTATTGTCAAGAATCCCCCCCCCCATTTTTAAACCTTTCTTTTACTTTAGACCGCTAGTCCTTGTCCTCCTCTTGGTTTCAACAGAGAATAGACACCTCTCCCACATGATAAGTCTTTTCAATATCTGTGGGTTGTTGTCATGTGGCTCCTTAGTTTTTTTTCCCTTTTCTTCCTTTTTTTTAAAGCTAAACATGCCCAGGTCTTTTAGGTAATTCATATAGGTCTTGGTTTTCAGAATCCCTATCACCATAACTTATGTTCCAACTGTTTCATTTTCCTTTCACATTACACTCAGAACTGAATACAGTACTTTAAGTATGGTCTAACTAGTGTAGATTACAACAAAGCTATCATCTTCTGTCATCTGTATGGAACCCTCCTAGCCAAATGTATGACTTTACACTTGTCACAGAAATAATTTCACTGCATTTGACCCAATGTTCAACTATTTGATGGTGATAAACCTGAGTATTTCAATGAGAATCTCCTGGAGGGCAAATTTCTACTAGAGACAAACTCTAGTTCAAGAGACAAACTCCTTATATATCTAATCACACTTGGCCAAATAAAGTATTCAATTCAATTTGATTCAAAGTTAATTGAATCAAACATGTCATGGTTGAATTAGTGGCCATAGTGGAAGGCAATGGTGCCGAAGAGTTGTTTAGCGTAACAGTCCTAGCATTACTACATAATTCTAGAATTAGTCAAGCAGCTAGTGGACATCAAAATAATATTGCTTTGCAAATGCAAATAATCCCTGGATTACCTCAGGGATGGCCATGCTAAAGCAACAAAAGTGTATTACATTTAAGACCCTACACCACAGGTGTCAAACTTGGTGGTGTCACATTGCCCTCACATGACATTTCGTGACTTTTGTCCCTTCGCAGAGCTAGGGTGGGCGTGGCCTGCCTGTGACGCATCTGGCCCATGGGCCGCCAGTTTGACACCCCTGTCCTACACTGAGAAAACAACAAAGTGGATGGGATGCAGGAAGCAGCAGTTGTGATAAAAGACAGAATAAAGAGGTAGCAATAAATGTCCAGGGAGCATAGATTATAATCCCATCTGCTAGCACACATGGAATGCAACATCTCACTAGGCCTTGCAATGTTTCTATGGCTTTCCCATGTTGTCCATTCCCATATTGTCCTCAAACATGCCACCCTCCAAATGTAATCAGTTTAATTTTGTCTCTCAGCTCTCAATTTTCTTGAGGATCAGGGTGGCCAGAAGCCCTTTTCAACTTTTTTATATCTTGTGAATTTCTCCTATTTACATGATCAGCTTCCTATGGACAAAAAAATGATACTATCCCTACAAAAGCTATTCAGAAAACAGATACAGTAGTTTTACTAACCAGTAAATCAAAAATACAAGCTAGAGGAACAGCTGAAAACTTCCCAATATGGCCAATGGTGAGGAATGCTTTGAACAACTGTAAAGCCAGCAGTACTAGTCCCCTCTCAATAATAGATTAGTAACAGTCAATCCTGAGTGAAGATCCAAGTTAATCTACATACAGTAGTTTAATAACATCTTTAAGTCTTCTTTCTATTGCTACAATTTAATTTTGAAGGTTCTGTAGCCAATGATATATTAAAAAGCACTTAATAATATATCAAATACTGATATCATTTTATCAGTATTTCTTAGCACAAAGCAACTGTTTTACATAGCACACTGTGCCTATTTGCTATTGCCAACTCCTTCAGATGTGCTGTTCCGCCTACAACAATTCTGCCAGTAATATTATGGGTTCAGGAGCAAACGATTTTTAAAGGTTATGGGAATCCCCCCCCCTCTCCTACAGGGGAGGAGGGGAGGAGTGATTCAAAGTAAACCAGGAAAACAGTAAACAATATTACAATCTCAGAACCAGATACTCCAGATTAGCTATTTCAAACATCACTTAACCATTGTATACCAAATATTTTTTATAATGCAAAACTACAATATGCAGAACATATCTTTGGATTCTAAAAAAAATTACAGCAACATAATAAAAATTATAATAAAAAGGAAATAATTACTTTCCTAAATAGAGAAAAATATGATTTTACAGCACTGTTTCTGATTTCATCAGCAGATAGCAGTCTGTTTAAAGCCAAGCAGTCAAAAATAATATATTATGCCCAACCAAGTTAATTTTCTTAGAAATGCATTTCCATAACATAATTTAATCAACCAATGACCTCAATAGTCATGTATATTATTCTAATCTTTTTTATATTGTTTCAACTCATATATTTATGTCAAAGAATAGAAATAAACATGACATCTTGAATATACACTGCTCAAAAAAATAAAGGGAACACAAAAATAAGACATCCTAGATCTGAATGAATGAAATATTATTAAATACTTTGTTCATTACATAGTTTAATGTGCTGACAACAAAATCACAAAAAAATTATCAGTGGAAATCAAATTTAGCAACCCATGGAGGTCTGGATTTGGAGTTACACTCAAAATTAAAGTGGAAAAAAACACTACAGGCTGATCCAACTTTGATGTAATGTCCTTAAAACAAGTCAAAATGAGGCTCAGTAGTGTGTGTGGCCTCCACGTGCCTGTATGACCTCCCTACAATGCCTGGGCATGCTCCTGATGAGGTGGCGGATGGTCTCCTGAGGGATCTCCTCCCACACCTGGACTAAAGCATCCCCCAACTCCTGGACAGTCTGTGGTGCAACGTGGCGTTGGTGGATGGAGCGAGACATGATGTCCCAGATGTGCTCAATTGGATTCAGGTCTGGGGAATAGGCGGGCCAGTCCATAGCATCAATGCCTTCGTCTTGCAGGACCTGCTGACACTCCAGCCACATGAGGTCTAGCATTGTCTTGCATTAGGAGGAACCCAGGGCCAACCGCACCAGCATATGGTCTCCCAAGGGGTCTGAGGACTTCATCTCGGTACCTAATGGCAGGCAGGCTACCTCTGGCGAGCACATGGAGGGCTGTGAGGCCCCCTAAAGAAATGCCACCCCACAACATTACTGACCCACTGCCAAACTGGTCATGCTGGAGGATGTTGCAGGCAGCAGAACGTTCTCCACGGCGTCTCCAGACCCTGTCACACGTCCTCAGTGTGAACCTGCTTTCATCTGTGAAGAGCACGGGGCACCAGTGGCAAATTTGCCAATCTTGGTGTTCTCTGGCAAATGCCAAACGTCCTGCACGGTGTTGGGCTGTAAGCACAACCCCCACCTGTGGATGTCTGGCCCACATACCACCCTCATGGAGTCTGTTTCTGACCGTTTGAGCAGCCACATGCACATTTGTGGCCCGCTAGAGGTCATTTTGCAGGGCTCTGGCAGGGCTCCTCCTGTCCCTCTTTGCACAAAGGCGGAGGTAGCGGTCCTGATGCTAGGTTGTTGCCCTCCTACGGCCTCCTCCACGTCTCCTAATGTACTGGCCTGTCTCCTGGTAGCGCCTCCATGTTCTGGACACTACGCTGACAGACACAGCAAACCTTCTTGCCACAGCTCACATTGATGTGCCATCCTGGATGAGCTGCACTACCTGAGCCACTTGTGTGGGTTGTACACTCCGTCTCATGCTACCACTAGAGTGAAAGCACCACCAACATTCAAAAGTGACCAAACCATCAGCCAGAAAGCATAGGAACTGAGAAGTGGTCTGTGGTCACCACCTGCAGAACCACTCCTTTATTGGGGATATCTTGCTTAACTGCCTATGATTTCTAGCTGTTGTCTATCACATTTGCACAACTGCATGTGAAATTGATTGTCAATCAGTGTTGCTACCTAAGTGGAGAGTTTGATTTCACAGAAGTGTGATTGACTTGGAGTTACATTGTGTTGTTTAAGTGTTCCCTTTATTTTTTTGAGCAGTGTATCTAACTGGAAGCAACTTCTTTAGAATAACTATATTCAAAACCAATTAGATTTCTTAATCTTTTCTTAATTAACCAATCAAGCAATAAAAAGAGCCAATACAATTCATGATATTACCAAAACAGATACTTACAGCCATAATTAGCTCAAAGGGGTGTTTATACACCCTCACGGGAGACTGGTATTTCTGCACCATGGTTACGAATAATTTGTATTATACAGATCTAAAAATAAAAGAAAACAATTATAGGTATATTGCAGCTGAAACAATACTCACCAAGACTTTGTAGATCATGTAGTTAGCACCCTAGTTTCTTACTTCACTGATCTAAGCAAACAGATCTTAAAAACTGTAAATAAAAATTCACTATGAAAATATTTTATTTGCAGTAGCATTCCATTTTGTTGAAACATCTCAGGTGTTTAGAGACACCATCCATGTTTCCACCATTATTTAGGTAGAAGAGATATAGAAGAGATACAGTAGTTATTCTATTTTAAATATTTAAAACGTGGAAGATTCTTACTATCTATGTGTGCATGCATGTACATATAAAATTACTAGAAGACGTTTAATGCCATATTTATACTCAAAATCAATACAATTGGAGTTTCATGCTACTAATATAAATATATTTAAGTACAAATGGCTGTAAGATAGAAATTCTTAAAAAGGTGAGCTTCAGATACTTGCAAACAGCCATTTTATCTTCCTTCTATGCATACCCAAACCAGCCAAGACACTACCCTGGAAGAACAGTTTTTATGTTCTTACTCTCTAATGTTTGTCAAAAAATTTAAAGTGATTCTGACCAATATACTTATATAAGCCCTTGGAATTCCGAGTACAAGTTTGAAGATATTACCAAAAAAGATACATAAAGTGAGCTGTTCTCTAAATCTAATAGCTAATTTTGTGACTTAAACAATATACACTAATTATTAAATTTCTGCTGGGACTCAAGATTGGTAATAATCATTTAATTAACAAGTTTATTTTAAAGTCATTATTAAAATATAAAAAACCCATGAGCACAATAAAGAGAATATAACACAATAGCTTTCATCCATACATTTTGTTATGTGTTTCACAGTATTTTCATGGATCCGTTTCTGTGCTGATAAATACACACAGAAAGCTGATACTAAAAATAACTATCACACAGCACACCATCCTTAAGAAATGTGTAGAACTGAGTTATTACTGCATATTGATATATTGGTTTTTCAGAAATAAAAGCCATAGTTGTTCTTCAAAGAATATATAAATCTAACTAACTTCCTACATTAATTCAAAGAGCAAATAAACATTTTAAAAGCAATAAAAAAATTACAAAAAAAAAATCAAGGAGAAATTAATAAGGAACACTTTCTGCACCTGTAAGGGGAGCTCTCGTTTATCAAATGACTACTTTAAATCCACTGGCAATCTGAAGCTAACTAAGATTTCTATAAAGGAGAACACTGTAGAAAAGTGAGCTCCTTTCAAAGCAAAACCACAATCAATTGCTTGCCAGCAAGCCATAAACAAACTATTTATAGTCAGATATCCAAGCAGAACCATCAGACCAAATCATAAGCCCATTCTTGAAAAGCAACTGTTCTTTCCTCTTCCTGACTATTTAGGCAAGACTACAAAATAGCACAAGAGATTATTTATTTATTATCGCTCCTCTATTATTAAAAAGAGAATAAAACATGGAATCTATTTACTACGCATCAACTTGACAAAGACAGATGACAAGATGAATTTTGAACTGAATACCCAGCCCTCCTCTTCAGTACTGGTGAATACAGTTTAACACGGAAAGGAAGCTAGACATCATGCCAACTTGAGATGCCTGGCTGCAAAAAAGCTACGAATTTCAGGGACCAGCGTAGAAAATGAATGCTAAAGCCAAAGCAAGGAAAACAAGCATACAGAAGAATGGCGAAGCAGTTTACAGAGTAAAGTAAAAAGGGGGGAATAAAATGAGAATTCTGAGCTAAAGGAAAGGTGTGAAAATACACCGAGTTTTTAGTTATAAGAGAAAAAAAATAGAAAGGAAAAGAGAGGTGCATTCCAGGGCAAGGGTGAGTAGAGTTCGGGAGGAAAGAAGCCAGAGAATAAGAGTGCAGAGGAACAGTCTAAAAAGAGATTGGGACAACCATTTGCCTGAAATGGTATAGGGTTTCCTGCTTGAGCAGGGAGTTAGACTAGAAGACCTCCAAGGTCCCTTCCAACTTTGTTATACCGTTAAAATGGGACTGACCATCCGCAATATCTGGTAGACCATACATTCCCCATGTTCTATTCTGTTGTTCTGTTGATTAGATGGATTTGGTCGGGCAAGAGGGCCAGAACAGATTCAGAGAACAGAGGCTCCCTTCCAGTTTAATGGTGCAAGAGTAATGGAAAAGGGAGAGTCTGCGAAAGGACTCCAAAAGGATGGGAAGGAGTAGATTCGGAGAAGGGTGGGAAGGCGGGGGGTGGGGAAGAATTTAAGACCAAGTGACTCTAACGCGGAGAAAGGCGCTTGGGCAAATTTAGGGTCGAAGTGGCGAGTTCGATTCCCGCGTGGTGCGGAGTAACCCCGAGTAAAGAGCTAACCGGGAGGAGCAAGACGGGTGAGTGGGTAAAGGCTCACCCGGGAGGGGGAAAAGAGAGAGAGAGAGAGAGAGAGAGAGAGAGAGAGAGTCTGTGTGTGTGTGGGCACAGCTTCCCAAGGCAAGGTCAGGGCAGGGAAGGCGAGCAAAGGCGACCATAGACCACCATCATTCGGGGGGACGCGAAGGAAGAGGGACGGAAGAAAAGCAAGGCAGGAGAAGCGGGAAGTATTCGGGCCCGCTCCCAACCGCCCACAGCCAGCAGGTCCAGACGCGCCAGATGCGAAGTCCCCATTTAAAGCGCAGAAAACGAGGATGGGGAACCAACCTGGGAACCGGAGCCAGGAGAGCACGAGATGGAAGGAAGGAGGGGGGGGGGGGAAGAGGGGGGGGGGAAGGGGCGGGGGGGGGGGGGGGGGGGGGAAGAGGGGGGAGGGAACGGGGGGGGGGGCGGGCTGTGGAATAGAAAGAAGCCCATCAAGGTGGTGGGCGAAGCGGAAACCCACCTTCTTTATCGCCAAGGCCGGCAGCTCTCCTGCTTCATGTCGGCTCCCCGTCCTTGTGAATGCCTCAGGCGATGGAAGGGGCCCCTCCTGAGTGGTGCTGCCCCCCGCCGGTTCCGGGAAGGCGACAGAGGCGGCGGCGGAGGAAGCCGAGCGACAACGGGCCGGCGGTGTTACCCAGTGGCTAACCAGAGGAGGAGGAGGGGCCCTGTCGCTCGGCCGCTCGTGCGCCCGCGCACTCTGAAGAACTGCTAAGCACCCCCCCCCACCGCAGGAAGGAGCTCTTTCTGCGCATGCTCCCTTGTAAGCCTGCTTCTGCGCACAAGCGGGAGCGAGGTGCGTGGAATTCAGTCCTTCCCCTATAAGTTTTCCCAATTTTTTTTCCCCTCTCTCTTTAAAAAAGGATGACCTTTTCACGTTGGGGTGAAATACTGGTTTATAGGAAGGTTTCACGTGTTCGTTATATTTTTGACAAAGCGAGTGAGTGAGTGACGTGATAGGTTAGGAGCCAACACGGGTTTAGCCCTTTGTTTAGATGAGCGGTTATTTGCATTTTCAGCCCCAGCAAAACAAACAAATAATAAGAACAAATGAGTATCTATGCTTACTTAACAACCTTTAATAATAAAGATACACTTTCCAGGAACCCACTGCTTAGTCATTCAATCATCTTCTATGATTCTAAGGGAAAAACAAGTCAACGGAAAAATTATTCCCCTTACGTCTAACATAGTTTTTGTGGAATAGTTCAGTAGCTTACACAGAATATTGCATTTTAGGACTGCATTTTTAGGATGCCTAGAAATAATCAGATGTCGAAGAGGACTTGCATAATTGTAGGCTTTTTAAAGGATAAAGCTCTGTGAAAGATAGTTTGTTTGCTGTCCTGAATGTTTCCGTACAAAGGAAGAAATAAAGCAATAATTGGAAGTGTTCTGGTTTATACACTAGATTATAGCTGGGTTTAACAGGTATAAATGCAAGATATGTTTGCTCAGGAAAGATACCACCATCTATTTTTCTGAAGTAACTTTAGGAATAGCTTGTGGAGACATTCTGTCCTATGCAGATAGTCCTTGGCTTACAAGTTACAACCATTCATTTAATGATCATTCAAAGTTACAGTGGAACTGAAAAAGTGACTTATGACTGTTTTTCACACTTAATGACATTGTAGTAACCCCCCCCCCCATGGTCATGTGATCAAAATTCTGACACTTGTCAACTGGCTCATATTTATGATGATTTCAGTGTCCTAGGGACATACGACCGCCTTTTGTGATCTTCTGACAAGCCAGGTTAATGAGGAAGCCAAATTCACTTTACAGCTGTGTTACTAACTTAACAACTGTGGTGACTCACTTGAAAAGTATGGCAAGGAAAGTCATAAAATGGGGTAAAACTCACTTAACAACTGCCTTGCTTAGCAACATAAACGTTAAACTTTGCTTGTCAGAAGGTCTCAAAAAGGTGATCACATGACCCCAAGACATTATAATCATCATAAATACATGCCAGTTATCAAGCGTCTGAATTTTGATCGTGTGACCACAGGGATGCTGTGATGGTCGCAAATGTTAAATAATTAAATTGGTAAAAGCACTTCCTTTTATACCTTACCATCACATAAAGCAATGCTGCACCATTATGATTAATAAAGGTGGATTTAGTGGGAGGACTGAATAAAAAGAAATGCCTCCACCAGTATTGGTCACTAACAAATGGCAATACTGACGTATTGGAACTTCTGATGTATTCAATAGCATCCGTTCTTCTATTTCAGTTACCATGAAATTGCTGTGAGAAAAGGTTGTATTGCTATTGTTCATGAAATGAAACCCTGCAGTGAATACTCAACAGTGCACTTTAAACAAAGGGCCGTGATTGAATTTTTGACTGCTATAGGAGTGCAATTGAAATTCATTACCGTATGCAGGCAGTTTACAGTATTGATGTGAGGACTATGCATCTCTGGGCTAAAAAACTGTAAAGATGATAAACCAGGAAGAATTGATTTGTATGACAAAGAATGAAGTAGACAATCTGTGATTGTAACCAAGGAGCTTCACATGAGGAGGTTGATGAACTGATCAAGAACTATCAGCAGATCACTCAAAGGGAAGTTGCTGTATTTTATAAAAAGCTTGACACTTTACAAGAATGTGTGGGTCAGGTTGTTGAATAAAGGAGCTCATTGTAAATTTAAAGACTCAGAAAAGTAAGCTGGAGGAAGAAAATAAAGCAGGGTTGCCAATGATCTATGCTCCTAAACCAACAAAGGCCAAGAGATATTTCATTTGCTATTACACGATGAAACTTTGGTAAGAGACAATGTGAATGGTTGTCAGGACTATTTTTTGCAGGTAGTCCTTGACTTATGACCATTCAGTTAATGACCAAAGTTATGATGCTGGAAAAAAGTGATCTATGACTGGTCTTTGTACTTAATCAGACCATCACTAAAATCATGTGTTCAAATTCGGGCACTTGGCAACTGGCATGTATACTGCACGAATCAAAAAGAGGGCTGTGAAAATATCTACAGGCTCCTCATATCCTGGACATAAATTGTTTCAACTTCTACCCTCAAAACGACTATAGGGCACTGCACACCAGAACAACTAGACACAAGGACAGTTTTTCCCCGAATGCCATCACTCTGCTAAACAACGAATGCCCACAACACTGTCAACTTATTTATTAAGACTGTATTAGTATTATTCCTCTACTACTAGATTATAATAATACTTCCTAGTACCTATTTCTTCTTATGACTATAACCGTGTTGCTTGTATCTTTACAATTTATATTGTTTCATTTGTTTCCTAGTATGATTTGCTTGCTTATTAGTAACCGATGACTATCACTAAGTATTATATCTTATGATTCTTGATGAATGTATTTTTTTCCTTTATGTACACTGAAAACATATGCAGCAAAGAAAAAATTCCTTGAGTGTCAAATCACACTTGGCCAATAAAGAATTTTGTTCTATTTATGATTTACAATGGTTTCAGCATCATGAGGTCAGGTTGCCATTTATGTCTTTCCCAGGGGACTTCCAACAATGGGGGAAACCATATTCACTTAATTACTATGATTCACTTAATGACCATGGAAAAAATTGGTCTTTAACGATGGAAGTTCCAGTCCCAATTATGGTCATCTCAAGGACTCCCTATACTATAAATGCATCTGAAAGTATGTCAAAACATGGTTGGGCCATTAGGCCTGGGGTCCCAGGGGACTGGCAAATTAAGGTGGTTCCAGTACAGATAGTCCTCGATTAACAGCAGTTCACTTACTAACAGTTCAAAGTTACAATCACACTGAAAAAAGTGATTTACCACCATTTTTCACGCTTATGACCTTTGAAGCATCCCCATGATCACGTGATCAAAATTCAGACGCTTGGGAACTGGTTCATATTTATGACCGTTTCAGTGTCCCAGGGACATATGATCCCCTTTTGTAATCTTCTAACAAGCAAAGTCAATGAGGAAGCCAGATTCACTTAACAACTAAGTTATTAACTTATCGGGTGCAGTGATTCACTTAACAACTATGGCAGGTAAAATGGGACAAAACTCACTTAACAAATGTCTCACTTAACAACAGAAATGTTGGCCTCAATTGTCGTAAGTCAAACACTACCTGTATTATTAATGTGTTTACACAATATTCCTTTTTTATCTTGTTTTTAATAATTATAATAATTGATTAGTATTGATTAATTCACTGTGTTTCCCTTTTTTGTATACCATCCAGAAAATGGATGGCTATATAAATTTGACAGATGAATAAATAAATGACAACAGTTGTGGTCACAATAGCATTTAAATGTTATATAAGTAATTAGTAATTACTAAGTGAATGTGACATGTTCAAAAGGCCAGTTTCTGAAGGGAGATACAGACAGGGTCAGAAAACAATATATTTCCATGTAACATTTTCATAAACTTAAAAAATACTGCATTTATTATCTAGTGTAGATAACTACCATTGACTACCATCTGACCCCCATCACCTTTGATTATCAGAAGAACTAAAGAAAAAGCATCGGGAATTAACAAATATTCAAATTTAACATTTCAGTTAGGGAAACTTCCCTGTCTCCCTTAATTAATCCTTTCAAAACTTCACTATTTTGTGAAAACCTGTTCAGTTTAGACAGTTACTATGTTACAAAGTTCATGTTGCAAGCCAAGATTCTGATGAAGTTGTCACTCCCTATAAACAGATCACATTTTCTGGAATTGCCATTTCTTCTAATCAGCAATTTTTGATTGCCAGAGCACTACATTGCATCATTCAGCAGAGAAGCTCTCTCAAACTTGATCTCCTTCAGATTCATTAAGATTCGCATAAACTCCCACTCAAGGGCAATGTTCTCACAATCACTACTTTGGCCAAGCAAATCCTTAAACCTTACTAAGACCAGCTGAGGAAAATTACAGAGTAGCACTTACTCATTCACTACTTTGCAGAGTCTCCAAACTAATCTTTCCCTGGCAAGGCTAGTGAAAGCTATAGTGGCAGCCCCACAAGAGTACCATCTAATCCTTTCAGCCTTTTACTAAGGATACACAGATTGATACTCTGGGCTTCGTTATTTGTAGTCTCTTCTTAATGGCTTCATGAGTGATGGTATGGATGCAAGGAGACAACAATGACCTCTATCTCAGCTCCTCACTTCCAGTCAATATAAACATTGGGATGGGGTTTCTTCTTTGTCCAGTAGCTGTCTTTTCTTCTTCACTAGGAATCCACTCCAGTCTTTCCTCTTCTTTTTTCAGACATATTCCATTTCCAGCTTTCCACATCTGAGATCCTTTGCCCTTGCCGTTCTTCCAACTCATCTATTTTATTTCTCTCTATCCAATTCTTCTGTCTCCATTCAAGAGCACAGGATTCAACAGGATGTCTTATTTTTTTCTCTCTCTCTAGCTTGCATCCACTCACTTCCTCATTCTGTCCTTCTCATGCCTTCATCATGCTGTCAGTTTCTTTCTTCTCACATCATCTCTGGTTACTGTTTTCCTAATTGGGCAACGTGCAAAGAAATGGGATTACTGATACAAACTTCACTGCCTGGTATGGTAAATTTCTCTCCCCCCCCCCCCCCCCCGCTCCCCATGGGTGCTTGTTCTTCATACAAAAATGGAAAAAACTACTTGCACTTTCCTTCTGCACCCCACTGAAATGCACCCCAAAAACCTGCAACGGTCTCTATCATGAGGATCAAAATCCTGCACTAGTATTTTTTAAAAAAACCAATTAAATTTCTTCTAGCAGATAAGCCTTGAAATAGTGAATGTTAATTATCTATTATCAAATAAAAAATCAAAATATGGTAAATGCTTTTCTCAAATATTTGGATTCATGTGAGTTATTAAGAAAGGTGTGGGATCCACTATGCAAAAGCAGAGATAGATTTGAAAAGAAGACAAATTGGACACCATAAAAGTACTGTGAGAGCTGCTTGACTTCTAAGAAAAATCTGATACGAATGTAATGACGGGTGTTTCCATATCATCTTATCCGCTTTGCAATATTCAACCTTACCTTTGTAAATAAATACAAATATTGACTTTTTAGGAATGGACCTTCCAAAGGAAGTCATTTGAGATAAACGCTGGACTATTGACCTTCACTTCTTAGAACAATACGATAAGCCTGACTCCCGATGGCCTTTTTGGACTTCCAATAAATGGACAAAGGTAGAAATTTGCCGCAATATTTAAATACTGTCATAAATTAATTTTTATTTTAAGTTGCTGCCAATGTCTTTATTATTTAAAAAAGAAAAACAATGCATTGGATCTTGTTCTTTCCTGCCAGGATTTCTTCTTCTTCTTTTTTTTTTTTTTTAAATTCTTGAAAGGTCTCATTTCAACTAAGATCCCACTAGCACCATCAGAAGTACTTACTTCAGTGTCTTGATTGTTTGAGTTGCCATTTTCTCTTTCTTCCTCCAGGGACTCTTTGAGATCGGACAGCTAGAGGGCCCATAACACTCCAAATGTGGATGGTATCAAAGATTTAAATGGTGCCATGGTGACACTTGTTTATATTTTTAGTCTTTGGTATCAATCTATAACACTGAGTATATTTCTCCCTGCTTTAACATAGTAATCATTTGAATATTCTTTTAAAATAAATAACCGGGAAGTTCAAAACGGAGTATTAGCTCAAAAAGTTGACCTTCACTGCATTATTGCCTAAGATGTATGCAGACTAACACTGGTTGTGCCTGCCTGAAAACCAAACATGACTCATGGAAATTTTAGGAAAGAAAGATCATATGATTTGCAATAGGTTTGGTAAGTCACCACTCTCCTCCAAGGCATTTTGTGCCAAGGTTTCTGTATACATACAGAACTGAGTGCCACCATCTATTATCACGAGATCAATTAAGCAAGCTAGAAAGCAAAACAGGAGGTTGGATCTCCTAGCCTATCTTAAGGGAATGACAACCTTTAAAAGCAGATTATCATGGACTTGTGCATAAATTAGACAAAACATCATCACAGACATTCAATTTTAGGTTGGAACATTGACTGGTATGCTTAAATTCTGAAATCAAGTCTTGGTAGACAATCTTAAGGCAAGAGGATTAAGTATCAAGCTGGTTCTGTGTATTTTCCATACATGCAATATTATCTTTACAGGCAGCACAACAATGATGGGAATGAGAAGTGAGTCTTCCAGAGTACCCTCCTTTTCATAAGGGTTGCTTTTCACCCATATAAAGGACCTTTTGATTCCAAACCAATATTTTAAGGCATGGTGTTTGTCTGCCCTGTTTCCCATTTATGTAACTGGCAATAGTTGGGGAATTGACAAAGTGGCTATTGCATGTGGTCACTACTCTAAAATGTATCTGCAAGAAAACAAGCTCAGAGAGCACCACGGACAACCCTGCCCCTTGCTGCAAAATAAATACTGCCCTTTAAAGGGACAGGAATTCTTAGAGCCTTAGAAAGGAAACTGATTTACACCAATCAAACCAGGAGCTCAGCATGGTTTGCTATGTTAACAGGCAATAGCTTGCCAGAACCCAAAGTGTGGGGAGAAGAGTAAGATGCCAAGGATTTCTCCAAGGATTTTCTGCATACTAAGTACATAATCTATCTCTAAGTTATATTTTCCAACCCATCCCAGTCTCAGTACTGTACTATGTAGTGTTTAGTCTACATAGTCTGAACAATTGTGTGAACCTCACAAGTGGAAAGCATGAGAAGAAAAAAATGGAAGGGATGCGTGTAAATACGCTCACGTGAAGTAAGATACTGTAGCTCCAGACAAAGCAAGCATGAAAACAATTGCTTTCTACCTCTCAACCCACCATAATGGAAATCTCTCTGCAGTACTATACAAGACCAGATAACTGGTAAAGTAAAGGGGCAGGGGGAAGAAGAGAGAGGGAGTTGGGGAAGAGAGAGAGAGAGAAAAATGAGTAAAACTTCACCCTCTTGTTGTATTTTCTGTATGATGATTACCACTTTAAGAATTTGTTTTTGAAATTCATTAAGGATAGTTATAAAAAAACCCACTCTAATGGAAATAAATTAGACAGAATTTTATTCTGAATCTTGTTCTAAGTCTGAAAAGCTTAGATGGAAAAATACTATGAAGGAGGATAACAGCATTTGGACTGAAGAGTTCCAACAATGGATTTCTGTGTTCCTTTCTTAATAGCCTTGCTTTCTCAGTTGCTAGCTAAACAAGCTCCTACAATAAAACATCTGTGGCTCCATAGAAAACAATGACCCAGGCAAGTTTCTTCAAGTCATAGATGTTTCCAAAACTGGGGGAAGGAAGGAAAACAAGCCAACTTCATATTGATGTTCATTACTTGATCTCAATCCTGGATGGGCCTTTCTCCAACTGCAGCTAAACACAATATCAAGATATCCTGGCATCTTCTTTTTCCACTATAACTCTCTGGTGCAACCTTCATCTCATCCATAGACCATGAGTGAGACTGGGCATTAAGTCACCCTTAGCCATATTGATGCTGAAGTATTATTTCCTCACTTATTCTGACACCATCCAAGGGAAGCCCTGAATTGTACAAAGTCCCAATAAGACCAGCCTGGCAGCAGCTGGAAACAGACTGTAGAAGCAGGGACAGGGATCAGCGATGGAGACAGCCAATGTTATGATGATATATTTTCCTGATAATTCCTCGATGGAGGAGTACTTTGAATTAACATTGGTAAAAGACCCAACAACAAACCCCAGATCCAACAGCGCATGCACCTTGCATGAGCAAAAAGGCAGCGTTGCTTGCACTGCAACACTGCAACCACCATCTTATCTTTTTTTTTTAGATTTTTTTTAATCACACCTTTATTATTTGTGTAAATAACTCAAGGCAGCAAACACACACAAAATTCTTTCCTCCTTTTATTTTCCCCACAACAGTAACCCTGTGATGTGAGTTGACCCGAGAGAGAGTGAGAAGCCCAAAGTCACCAGCCTGGTGCTTTAACCACTAGACTGAACTGACCAAACCCTGTTCCTTGAGGTGCTGTTGCCTGGATCTGGAATTTGATGGGTACCAGTGTCAAAATCACCAATATTTCCAGCCCCTGGTTAAAATGATTTTTTATTTAAAATAAACATTCTCTAGAAGATCTGCATCAACAATAATAGCAACAGCACTTAGACTTATATACTGCTTCCCAGTGCTTTACAGCCCTCTCTAAACGGTCTCTAGGCAAATTGCCCCCAATCTGGGTCCTCATTTTACCCATCTTGGAAGCATGGAAGGCTGAGGCAACTTTGAGCCAATCAGCATCGAATTGCTGGCAGTCATGAAGCAACGCCAGAGGCGATCACTTGAATAGCTGAAATGGACATCCAGCTATGAGGCTACTATCAAATCCCTGTAGAATTTTTGTATATAATTATGTGGATTGTGTGTATTTGATTACTTCTGTCATGTTCTCATAATACGCTAAATAATGTGCGTGTGTGTGTGCGTGTGTATGCATTTTGGAATAATTGCAGTAATAGACCGAGTTTGTTTTTGCAATATTACTCAGCTTCTGTAACCATGGAGAAAGCACCGTCAGCAACACACCTCCCTCGCTTCACCTCTGAAACCTCACAGGACTCATAGTTTCCACAGGATGGAAACTATGTGTACAGTGTACAAGCCCAAAAGTTGATATTCCTGAGAGACGCAGCTGGGAGTCTCGCAAAAATTAAATAAATGCCCCGCCCAATAGCACATTCCAAAATTTTTCTATGCTCCGAGGAAATCTTTACAGCCCTAAAGGTTAACGCATTTCCAGCAAGCCTACAGCAAACAGTGTAGCAATCATTGAAGTGGGTGGAGGATATTAAAATAAATCGTTTTATGTAAAAACTAAATCCTAAAATACATACCAACTGAAGGCAGATTATGAGAAATTAAAAGACAAAAGCACTATGTAAATTGCAATTAAAATGATAGCAAAAAAAAAAAAAAAAGCAGCAGAGAATATCAGTTAATTTTAACAAAAAATGAGGAAGATTTTGTTGTCTGAGAAAAAAGAAAACAGATGCACAAGTGCATTTCAGGGTCAGGGAGCTAAAATGATGGAAATGTTTATTTTTGTATTTCTATGCATCAGTCTTTTTAGGGCTGGGGTTGGGATTAGGTGTGAGAGCAGGTCTCAAAGTTGGAATAATATTCGCAAATAACATATTCCTCCAGGCTCTCTCAGAGATTTGAAAAGACTGGGGATATTTCCCAAGATTTTGAGATTCTTAATCATTTAAAAAATAAAATGATAGCATGCATTTGAATGCCTCTTCTCCCAAATAGGTCTCCTACCTCCTTGCAGCCCGCATTTAGTCCCTTCATATAGGACGAGAGGAACTAAGTAAAACAAATCTACTGCATGTCAGATATTCATTCCTAATCTAACCTTGTAACAACAAATGTTTCCAGTCAGACCCTCGGGAAACTATGATGGGATATGGTAGGTACTGGAAGATCTTGACTTGCAATGTTTCTTCTCCAAGTTAGCCAAATAGCTTTCAAGATTACTTGCCATGGAAATTATGTTGAAGCAACTATAGAATTCCCTATGTAATTAAGCCAACGACAGGAGATATTACAAGGTTTTGGACTGAGTTAGTATCATGGTGGGATTCTACCAGTTCGCACCTATTCGCTAGAACCGGTTGTTAACATTCTAAATAGTTTGGAGAACCAGTTGTTAGAAGAAATTACTGGCCTAATCCTGTAAGGAAGGCAGGAAGGAAACATTCTGGCGTTGCTTACAGAAACTGCCTCTCCATTAATCCTTATTACATTCTTGGCAGGATTAGACTTCTTGTCTCAGGAACTTCTATGAAGTTTTTTTCCCCTTCTTTGCTGGTACTTTGCTTGTGTGGAGTGACCATTCAAAGTTACAATGGCACTGAAAAAAGTGACTTATGACCATTTTTCACACTTACGACTGTTGCAGCATCCCCACAGTCATGAGAGGCCAGTCGAGGAGATGCGTGCCTCGATGTGAGTGATGTTGAGTTGGCCACACCCAGTCAGTCACATGACCACCAAGCCACGCCCACCACAGAACTGATTGTTAAAAAATGTGAATCCCACCCCTGGTTAGTATATACTAGTCACAGCCAGTTAAAAATTTGCCAATCAGGCAAATGAATTTGAATCCAGGAACTGTGATGGATTAAAGGAGATTTCAAAACCCTGAAACTGAGACAAGCGGTTTGGTGTGTGGTTAATATTGAACTCTATCAATTGACCATCTACCATTTAGCTGATTAATCTATTGTTTGAACTTTAATGTTTTTACAGCGCTAAAAATAGTGCTCTATGGTCAGAAAAGGGGATACAAACTTTAAAAATAAATAACAAAAGAATTGAACTTATGAAAACAAATTATGTTCCTAAGTAGCTTTTTTCGAGCACATGAAAGGAATCAAAACCTGTCTTCAAGGGGAATTCTTTTCTTCTTGTTTTCTTGCTCCTGACCTTTGATTTGCAGCTGGAGTAACAGAGCTGCAGATTTACAGAATGTAAAAACCTTCATTTGTCATAATGGAAACTCTCTTTATGAGAGAAAAAAAGCCAAATTACTTCCTGTCTCTGAAAAATCTAGCACCGTTAGTGGACAAGTGGCAGCTTTAAATTTTCTCCCTTACTTTAGCGTATTTAGAAGATAGAGGGCTCCTACATAGAAACAACTGACCAATGCAAAGTTGCAATTATTGGTAATCCAGGGAGTCCTGGTAAAATATAATTAAGGATGATTGCAATGTGCAAAATATAACATTGGAAAATACATAGGTTGCAGTGGCTACATATACGACTGAGTTTTAAAATTACAATTCTCAATTCTAGACATCAAGTCTAGAATCTTCATGGGGGAATCTTAGTGCAAATACTAATAATTAGGTTGGTATGGCACAGTGAGAACAAGCAGTAACATTACAGTCTTTACAAGAGCTGAAAGAAGATTCTTGAATCAGGTCTACTATATAAAGATGCTATATTCAGTGGTACATTCCATTTATATCCGACATGCGTATTGCAGTAGACACAGTGCTGGCGTTATTGGGCATTTGTCCTCAAGGGACTGACGAAAGCAAGTGTTTATTCAAGGAAAATTAACTTCCAGTACTTCTGCACTGATAAGCACATTTGTACTTTTCATTTTTTTAAAGTCAGGGAGAGAGAAGGAAATCAGACCAGATGAGGCTTTGTTAATAGAACACTTTTTATAATTTCTGCTGATAAAGCCACTCTGAAAAGCAGCAAGCAACCTTGGTCAAATTCTTGGCAGTCAAACCTAGTCACCCTCCAATTAAATTGCAGCCACTACAGTAGAATTTAGGTCACTGTTTAGCTCTGTAGAATTTATTCTGAACACTTCTTTAAATATTTAAGACATGGCTGTCTAATTAAGTCTGGCCATTTAAAAAAAAAACAAGAGGCATCATGTTCATTCAAAAATATGATTATGTTTGCTCTTCTTTCATATTGTTAACA